AATATTAGTCACCTTCCTACTTCACAGAGATGTTGCAAGGAATAATGTTTGTAATATGCTGTGGTGTTCTCAGATGAAAGGTGGAAATTAATATATGATGAAACATTATTACCACTTATCTTTACACCATCTAAATGGGTTAGGCAAGTGAAGTATAGCATCTCCACAGTCCTGGCAGAAACCAGGACTGCCATTATTTCTATTTAACATCTATTATACCCACCCAAAGAGGTTGAGGATTACTCAGCGCACAGACGTGCTTTGGGGATAAATGAAAGCAAGCTGAGATACCAGAACAACAAAGAGGTAGCTAATTTTTATTTTCTTCTTTTTCCATTTCTTTTATTTGAGATAGTACATTTGAAAGTGTTATAGGACAGGGAGAGGGTCAGCCCAAACCCTGCAAACCTGCCTATTCTACATGGGTTCTGCCATCCGCCGCATCAACACAAAACATATGACGCTTTAATGGGAAGGAACTTTAATAAAACTAGGAAACAATACAGGTAAGGCAAAGAGTCTAGTTTCTAAATGAAGCACCTAAAGTTACCCATCCCCTCGTGGGTAAAAGTCCATCCAAATGGGATTGGCCCAGAGCAAGGCCCCAAAGCCTGCCACAAGTCTAAAGCATCTTCCAGTGGGGACCCACAGAAAAGGGTCACAAACAACTGGACAAGCCCGGAAGGAAAAGAGCAAAATCAACATCAAGATAAAAGCTGCCATGGTCACCTCCCCACGGGTCTCACCCACATCTGTGTCACCCAGTCCACGACCAAAAGACAAGCGCAGCTTCTTCACGTGTCTCTAGGCTCCATGCACCTCCTTCAGGTCTTCTGGCTCCATCCTGCTCCTTCCTTCCTCAGTCTCTTCTCCTTCTCCTCTTCCTGCTCAGCTCCACCCTCCCTTGGGTGGGGCAAGGAACCTCCCCCTTTCCTGGGGACCACCCTGTTACAAAAGGAAATGAGTGCAGAGAGAGAATCAGGGAGTGACTGAAATGACTTTTCCTCTTGAACATTCCTTTCTAAGTTATCAATATATGTGTGTAATGCATAGTCTTGAGAACGGGCTCGTATGCAGATGGTCTTCTGTGCCTTTGCTTTCAGTTTTCTTTGTCAATAATCTTTTCTGCATCTAGATCCATTTATGTAGACCAACACCCTCCCTACTCTATGAAGTCTTCTGGTCTAACCCCTTACCTAAACTTCCTCTGTCATTCTTTTGTAATCAGTACATGTTTTGGAATTTATATTTTGGTGTTGATCTTGCTTCCTCACAGACTTAACTCTTTCAGGGCTTATTTTATTAAGGTATAGTCTTCATTTGGTACAGGTCTTGGCACTGAAGTTAAAAAAGTAAATGTTTAATAAAGGAATGAATGGACTCTGTCAGCAGAATGTCAAGATTTGAATTCAGACAGCATTAAATTCACCTCTGCTATTCCCATCACACCATCTCACACCCTGTATGACATATGTAGTGCAGAAAAGAAATAATAAACAGGTAAAAAAAATAAGGGAAAGAGGAGTTGATTTAAAGAAAAGAAATCCAACTCTTTCAGGTAAATACCAAGGTGAGCAATTGCTGGATCAGATGTTTAATTTTGCAAAACTGTCTTCCAAAGGGACTGTACATTTTGAATTCCTATCAGTAATGAGTGAGAGTTCTTGTTGTTTTATATCCTTGCAGTATTTGATATTGTCAGTATTTTGGATTTTGACTATTTTAATAGATGTATAGTGGTTTAATTTGCAACTCCCTAGTGACATTATCAATGAATTGAAGATACATGTCAATACAAAACCCTGCACATTAATGTTTATAGCAGTTTTATATATAACTGCCAAAACTTGGAAATAACCAAGATGTCTTTTTGTAGGTGAATGGATAAATAAACTGTAGTATGTACAGAACATATACCTGAATAATGGAGTGTTACTCAGTTCTAAAGAACAAATGTGTCATCAAGCTACAAAAAGACATGGAGGAAATTTATATGCATATTACTAAGTAAAAATAAGTCAATCTGAAAAGACAGCATACTATGTGATTCTAACTATAAGCCATTCTGGAAAGGCAAACTATGGAGACAGTAAAAACCAGTGGTTAATAGTTAGGAAAGTTAGAGTAGGGGTGAATAAGAAGAGCAGAATGTTCAGGTCTGAAACTACTCTGTATGATAATATAATGGTGGGTACATGTCATTACATTATATCTATGTCAATATGTATGTAAAATGTACAATACCAAGAGTGAACCTTAATGTAAACTATGGACATTGGTGATAATGATATGTCAATATAGGTTCATCAATTGAAATAAATGTGCTTTTCTGGTGGGGGATGCTGCTGTGGGGGTGGATACATATATGCAAGGGGTACATGAGAAATCTCTGTACCATCCACTTAATTTTGGTGTGAATCTAAGTTCTAAAAGTGAAAGTGTATTAAATTTTTTTTTTTTTTTTTTTTTTTTACAAAAAATGCTTTCAGATAGCATTCCAAAGGAAATAGAAGACTCAACTTAGGCTGGCTAATTTTAAACCTGTGTATATAATATTTCCTATAATATTTAAGCATAGACCGATCAGAAAAATACCCCCACTTATGACATCAGTTTTCCTTCATTGCCATCATTACTCATTGCAAGGCCAGATGCAGATCTCAGATTCAAGACATTTATGGAATGGTGTTGATCTGTTTTTCCTGCCACATCTTGTTCCCCTCTTATTCCTTCACATAAACCCTACTGCTACTAAGGTGATGATGGACTTACTCTGAACAAAAGGAAAAACTCTGTGTCTCTTCCAATCAAATACTCTTTCCTATGACCTCATTACCAATCTGGGTGCAGCATCTCCACCTAGTGAAGACTTTTTCTGTCCCAAATGCTTCCTCCACAAAGAGACTTTGCCAGTCATATAATGTAATGCACAGCACATTAGATATGGTCAGTGAAACTGTAGATGTGGTGACAGTAACTATGACCATGGATTGGGAGCATTCCTTGCCTTATCCAAACACTCATTTCACTAAATGTTTGAGTTTAGGTAAATGACTTACTTTCTGCAGCTGCATTAACTTGTGTGCAAAGTGGGGATGATCGTAACACCAACCTCGGAAGCTGTTGTAAAGGCTGTGCTATGATAAACCTGAAGTGCATAAACGTCTTACAGCTGGGTCAAATATAGGAAGTATTCAGGAAATGTTCCCACACAATCTAGTCCATTTCTGGATATGGTCTTGCCTATAGGCCAAAAGTGTTAAAAGAGGGAGAGCACTGTCCACAGGTACATTGTCCTAGAAGCATTTGAGTGATTTATCATTAGAACTCCCTGGGGAACATGAGGGGCCTCTCACTATTTCCAAGTCCTCAATTCTTATGGACCATATTGTTGAAAATGAAAATTTTTATGAACTTTCACAAAAGTTTTCTATGTTCTTAAGGATTTATTTTGCTATTCAAGTTTGGTTTAAATATTATTAGAGCATAACCGGAACTGTTTAGTGAGGTGGTTTTGTGGGAAGCTTTTCCTATAAATCTTAACCAACTACACACTAACCTTCCCTGTTCAATGGTCATGAGTTGCCAAGTGTATTCAGGAAAGTGGCCAGAAGGAAACAGTGCAAATGTCACCAACAGCAGACAGTAGAAGGAAATGCTCTTCTCCCATTGCACACCAGCTTTCCCATGTCACAAACCAACCTCCCCAACCCCCATCAGCTGAGACAGAGATTGACATTTTCTTGTCTTTATTTCTTTCTCTGCTAAATATTTAATTGACTGCCTATTGGACCCCAAATGTTATTATTTTTGAGATGTATTTTATTGAGAAATAACCAATATATTCATAAAATTCACCGTCTGTAAAGCATATGCTTGAGAGAATTTCAGTTTATTCTCAAAATTGTGCAACCATAACCACTACCTAACTCCAGAACATTTTCACATTCATTTCAGATAACATTCCAAAGGAAATAGAAGACTTAACTTAGGGGTTTAAGAAAACCAGGGATAAACTTGTAATATTATCTAGAAAGGCTGGCTAATTTTAAACCTATGTACATAACATTTCCTATAAACATTAGAAGAAACACAACACTCCATTTCATAACCTCATTTCATCTTGTGATTAAAAAGTTATCTTTAGTTTTACTTATTTGGTTAAATGGTGCTAATAGTTTTTAGAAAATCAGAGAAATGAACATACATTTATAATTAATATTGTAATAGCTTACTTTTTAGTGTTTATCTTATTTCTAAATTACCATTTGCTCAGGGATTCACACACACACATCCACTCCTATTCAGAGTTTAGTCTTGTATCAGGTCAAGGATATTAGTACCCACAAGGTGGATCTAGCCTGAAGGACAGTGTGTGGGCCCAGTAAAGGTAAAACTAGCTCTCCTTTATCAAACAAATACTGTTTCCCAGGCACTAGCCCTGAGACTCCAGTTTTAGAAGGAAAGTTCTATTATCATCAACTTTATTTTAACATGTGAGCCAATGGAGACTTCTGGAATTTATGAAATGTGTGTTTTCCCAAGGTTGCATAACGAACAAAGTCCAAATTTGAATGGAGGACCTCCAGATCCAGAGCACATGCCTTTGACCTTGCTGTTAGTGCCATGTTTCCTTTAGCCCTTGAACAGGGCTGTGCAATATGCTGTCACAAGTCCTCATTCAGATCCTCCTGTTACCCGACGAGAAGAGCCAGCTCCTGCAGGCTGGATCAGTGAACTAGGCCAGCACAGAGGAGCAGCAGAGTCCACAGCTAAGGTGAATGGATGTGAGTTCACTAGCACCCCACTGAGACTTCGGCACTTAGCTTAGACTTCTGCTCCAGGTCTCATAATAGCCAATCACTTCCTACCCTATTTTTTTTGTATGTTTGAATCCCTATGGGTATAAGGGTAGCAAATATAACTTGATTTATATGTTTTCCTTAGGTTCAAGGTGTATGTAATGAATGTTTGAAGAAATAAAAAAGTCTCGCCAAATAGTCACTAAGTATTTTATTGCTAGACTCCCTTAAAAGTTTAAGCACCAGTGCCTTTGTGAAAGGAGACAACATAGAATAGTTGGATTATAACTTTTTCTCTACATGTTTTTCAAATTTGTAAACTTAATTCCCCATACACATTAAGTAGAATTTTTTTTTTGCATACACAAAACAATATGATTACAAATACCTTTCGGAGAGGATTAGTCATAATTTGTATCTTTGTAAGCAAAAGGAATGAGGGTACTATTAAATGCTGATGGATTTGGGTTTATATTAACCAAGTAAAATCTGCAGTTCTGTTAGCACCCTCTTCCCCTGATTCCTTAGTCTCTGTGAATAAAACAGTGATCTGGGAGTGCATGTGGCTGTTCCCACTCCTCGGAAGGGTCCTGCCAACTCTTCATTGTCCTCTTAGATTTGCAGTCAGATGTCTTATGCTGACAGGCACTGGGCAGGCAATGAGTTCTTTTCCTGTAAGTTGGGCACAAAAAGATCAGCATGGGAGCAGCCTCTTTGGGATAGCTGCTCTGGGAGAATGCAGTAAGCAGGGCGCAGGCAGAAATTCCTAGCCTGGGTGACTCGTGGGAGGAGTTCAGTTTGCTAAGTATTGTCATTTGCTGAGAGAAGGTGTACGCTCAAGAAGGAGTTGTAACCTGGAGGATCATTAACTCTTTCAGTCAGCTGGCCTCCGGCAGTGGCTGGGCAAGTTTGTCCTGGAAACATCTGCTCTGGAAGGTCAGGGAGGAGGAGTAGAATAACTTTTTCATGGGGGACTGCTTTGAGAAGGGACAGCAGGCTTTGCTCAATGAAGGAGAAGAGAATGAGATGGTAAGACTCCAGCTACATTCCCCTCTTTGCCTTTCCAAATATCCCCTCCCCACTTATATCCCCAGCTCTTCTCCCTCGCCTCCTGTCTCTCACACAAACACCATGCTTCTCTGTGATTTGACTGTGGTATCATGTGAGGAAAGGTAAAGGTCAAGAAACCTCTCCATCCCATAAATGTAACTTCTGACAGCAGCATTTTTCTAGGCTGAAAATATTGTATTCCTTTTATCAAGAAAGTTTTTTTCTAAAATAAATCAGAAAGGAAGACTCTCATTCTCCCACAGCAAGTTCTGTTTAAAATGTATAATAATTTCAGCCAATCCCTAATTGGGGAGCAGAATATTCTCTGATAGGATGATGGGACATCAGTGGTTCAGTAGCAGTGCATTTGGGTCTTTGACCTTATCATATTTTTGTTCACAAAGACTTTTGGATGAGGAAAACCTATAAAATATGAACAATTATCAGCCCATACGCATTTCTTTTTTTACTTTTAGAATTGTATTTGTAGTGCCCTAGTTGTAGAGATTGGTGTCAGAAAACTTTCTGTGCTTACTCTCCTTTATATTTTGGATGTGTTCCCACCTGGGGAGCTGTAGGAAAATCAAAGATGATTTTTATGCTCTTACTGAATTCAAAGCTTTATTTCTCAATTACAATGTAATCAAGAGAGAGTTAGAAATGTGTACTTCTATTTAATAAAGCCTTTCAGCTAATTGTGTAAGCATAGTCTTTTATGCCAGTAATGGTGTAATTAAAATGTTAAAATGTGATGCTTTCATTCCATAATAACATTTTATCTTCCTGAAATTAATATATAAATAACAAACCCAAAAGATATTTAGACTGTTTACTTGGCTAATTGCTTTAGCCCTGACTATTAAATTCTTTGTTCCTAAACTGGTTTTGCAAGTCTAATCTGCTTACCTGTTCCTATAGCAACAACATTTTTTGGACCTTCAAGAGTAGATCCCTTTTTATATCAAAGCTGAAACATTATAAGGAAATAAAAGGCACTCAAAATTAGATGACCTTTTTAGTAGGCTCCTTAATTCTCTCAGATTTGACCACCAAATAACAAGAGCTTTCAGACCAGACACAATGTCACCATCACCAGAAGTGACCTTTTGACCCCCATGTTGGATAGCATCCTTATTTCTCCCAAGTGTTATCTTTAGACAGGGAATGTTCCACTGCTCTCTAAATTAATTTTAAAAATTCTCCTCATCTGGTATCTTTTCACCAGAAGGCAGGGTCTCTTTCTTTCTAATGGTGTTTTTGTTTTTTTTTTTTTTTTTTTGACCCTCCCTCACATCCTCACTTGGAAACACACCTACTCTTTCCCAAACACTCATTTTTGCATTTCGACCACTTGTCATTCGCGAGTCATTAAGCTCCATCTTCTTGGGAGCTGACTTTCCTAGTTCTAGGAAACAACGCCTTCTCCAGCCTACACCTTCCAGTAAAGCAATACTGTTAATATCTTTATAACACATCAAGGTATTGACTTGGTTTTGTATGCAGCTGAAAACCCTCTTACGAAGGCCTCTTTGACTAGAAAGGAACGCTGTGTGTTCTGGAGAGGAGTCCTTTGGCCAGTAGTCTCAGTGGAGGTGCAGTAATTAGTATGCACTCTTGATCTCTCCATTCTGTTCTGCCCGAGAAATCTGGCCACCTGCCTGTTGCTGCATCTGACACTCTGTCCTCTTTGAACTCACAACTCCATTCTCCTCACTCAGAGCAGTAAACCTCAAAATTTATTAAAGATATCTTAAATGTACCTCACATATTTTCATAGTGACTTTTAGTTTACAAAGTATTTTCTTGGCAGATGACTAATTTAGTTTTTACCACTTCCTGTTAAGTCAGTGTCATGATGCTGAATAAACTGTTGGAGACAGAATTTGCTTGTCTAATTTGCATCAGCCAGTAAGTCCAGGAGCTGAAACTCTAAGGAAGTTAGTTTGAGTTGGTAGCTTCTTTGTCTTTGGATGTGAATATCACCCATTTCTTTTTTTTTTTTTTAAGATTTATTTATTTATGCATACAAGAGCTGGGGTACAGGCCAGAGGTGGGGGTGGTGGTGAGAGGATTCACCAGAGACAGAGTGGGGAACAGAACAGGCAGACCAACTGAAATATACTGCTGAGGGGAGCCGTGGGCGAGTCAGGAGAGATCTGCTGTGCCATTTGGGTAGCTCCCTGGACAGGGATCAAACTTGTGCTGCAGTGGCTGCAGATAGCTTCACAGCTTGCATCTTAGCCCCTTGCTCCACCATGGAGGCTCCAATAGCACCCATTTCTTCCTAAAGTCATCGTGCTCTTAACAGGAGAACACACTTCTTTTCTTACTGAAACAAAAGTTAAGACAACATCTAATATTCTTAATATTCTCTGGGATCTGTTTTGTTGTTTGTGATGTATATTTTCCAGACAAGTCTTTCTTCATTGACTTTAATGTTAATCACCTTTCGAAAACCAAAATTGTCTAGAAATGTGTTACATCAAAGTATTTACAATTTCTTGGTTTATTTTATCCAAAGTTTGGACCTTAGAGGAAGCCATCCCTCAAAAGATAAAGATGTTTTCAGATTTCAAGAGACTCAGCATTTTAGGTATAATTTTCATGTCAAATCATGAAGAACTGTTTCCTGGTCTAAAGATTCCTGACATGTTTTTCATTCTAGAATAAAAGAAACAGGAACTAAATGAGCAGCCCTAAGGAGAACTGCAGGTAATATTGTTAAGCACAAAATGAGACAGGAGCCAAAGGGAGAAAGAATTTTATTGGAAGAAAAAGGTAGAAAAGTGAAGAAAGTGACCTTTAGAGAACATTCACCCAGATGGCTGTCTCAGAGGAGAATGACTCCCACACAGCACAGGACCCCAGGTCCCGCTCCCATCAGCTTTGGCTAGTCCCTAGCTTGCACCAGGCTCAGCTTTTGTACTTGGAAGATAAGAGGAGCGCTTTTTACCTGACCTGTCCCACAGGGCTCTTAAGATGGTTAACTGAGCTAATCTCTGTGGGAGTTTTTGAGAAGTATAAAATTCTGGGGAGTGTCAGCAACTGTTACCTAAACAAAGATAGGCAGAGTCAGGGCTTCGTAAAAATAGCTGATGGGATGAAGACTACTCAACATCAGATCTTGTCATTAAATAATGACAAGGAAGAATAAATACTTTTATCCACAAGCGGTAGAGCCCATTTATAAATGGAGAGGCGCCTAGTTACCTACTTCCTGCCATGTAGTACTTACTTTAGTACAATATTTTGTGTCTTGGGACTTTATTTTCTCATTTGTAAAATGGGAGATACAGATGGACTAAAAACTCAAATCCCTTTGAATTCTGATGCTATATATTAATATTTTGAAAGGCTCTGGAAACACTGATGCCCATTTCCTAACCATGACACAGGAAAGATTTCATAGTTTAGTTTGAGCATTATGTAACCTCTTTAAGTACATCCTCATGAAGTCATACTCTTTTGGGGGGAAGCATTTGTTTCAGGGAGCCATGTTTTAAAATAATATTTCCTGATTTGTTTTTAACTCTCCCAGGTTTTACCAAAAAAAAAAAAAAAAACAAAACAAAACCTTGAATTTTTTTCTATTTATAAAATTAACATGTTTGTTGTAAAAATATTGAAAAACTGACACATAAAGGTATAAAGAATGAAATAAATGCAATTCATGAGCTTTCTGCCCAAACACAATCAATATTATTATTTTGGTGACTCTCCTTTCAGACTTATAAAAAATGCATAAACAAAGCCTATCCTATTGCAATTATTTTTATAACATTTTAATATCATTTTACTACATTTTAATATCATTTGAGATTATTTAGATCTGTGTATGTGTATCTTGGAAATACTCAGTAATGGTTTCCATGGCATATTTCTTTACATAATAGCTTAAAATGAATAAGGTTGGGGATTTTATGCCATAGAAATCTGTAAATGCTACATGGGACTTCCATCTTACCCTATCTGAAGGGTATTCTTCAATACTTATCAGCAACACCATTGAATATATGAATTCCTTAAGACTTTCCTGTTTTTCTCCTTTTGTGTCCAAATACAATAAGGATATTGGATTTAGATATCAGTCATTTGTTTACACTGTATCCTGCCAAAGCGAAGTAAAATGATCACAATCTGTTCTCTAAAGAATGCACACATATATGCATTTATGGAGTTTTTAAACAAAAATGAAATTATTCCATCTATATATTTTGTTTAAGACTGGTCTTTTATATTACACCTAAAAGTATATTATAAATATTTTTTTTAGATAATTACAGTTCCACATAGCCATTTTAAATTTGAATTGTGTTTGGATGAACTATGCTGTGGTAAGCACATCTCCCCTGTTGAACATTTCTATTATTTCTAAATCTCTTTAACTATGATGGACGACTTTGTGTGTGTATTTTTACATATTTGTCAAATTATTTCCAAAGGTGGAAGCCCTAGAAATGGCCCTGCTGCATCAAAGGAATGTATATTTTAAATTTTGATTGGTACTTAATGCCACGTTGCCAGGTGGTGGTTGTACCAATTTATATTCAGACTAGCAATCCTTTTTAAGAATACTTGCTTTCTCTGCTATACTTGCCAATGTTGAGCATTATTACATTTTTAACTTTGGCTCATCTGATATGTGAAAATGATACTTTACAACTGTATTAATTTTGCATTTCCCTGATTTGAAGTTGAACACATCTCTACATGTTTTTGGCATTTGTATATATTTTGGTTGGAATCTCTTAATGTTGTCACTGATGTTCTGTCAACTTGTAGGCCGGGTAATTGAAAATTAGTGAATGTGAAAAGCAAGAGAAACTTTTTCAACGTTCATGCATTTTCTGAGAACAAGAAGTTAGCATTGCTACAGGCACATAATGTGACAGTAGGGTGGTGTGTGGTCTTTGCCACATTGAAAATCCTGTCGTGCCTCCAGCGTGAGCTAGGGACATCTGTCCTCCTCAATTATTTGGCTCACTTTGATAGCTAATGTTTGTCTTTTCTTCTCTAACACCAGGGAGCAAAAGCACCGCCCCCCACCTCAATAGCCACTTATTTATTATGCTTCTTGAGCACCTCCGAGTTGGTTTTCAATGTTAACTAGTGAACCCACAGATCTCATAGTGGAGGAATTGTGTTCAGACTGAGATGTTTTGTGAGTTGAAATGTTCAGGAAGCTGGGCCACTGGCCAAACTGAGTGTCTTTATTCTTGATTCATTGCTACAGAACTCCCATGAAGTCAACTCATCTTTGATTTATTTCCCTCTTGAGGACAGAGACCCTGCTTGGTTCACCTTTCTACAGCACCCCATGACCCTCTTCTACTACCCCCAGAATATAGCACAGCGCTTGGCACAAGCTCTTGGGTCATATTTGATAGCACAACTACAAGCTCCATTAACCTACAATTTTGCATTCTGAAAAGAACAGGGAGGCAGCAGAGCTTAGGAAGAGAAATAGAAATTTGAACAATTTAACAAAAACCTAGGAACATTCATGTTATTTGCTTGAACTACTTGATCATTTTGTGGATTTATCAACTGACTTCTGTCTCTCCCAAGCATAATCTTCAGTATTTAGCCGTAATATGCTATTTTTCTATGAGGTACTTTATTCTATCCTTTTGTCTGTTCATGTGTGAGTTCAACAAATATTTACCAAACTCCTACTCTGTGCCAGGAGTCCTCTGTGCTGGCCAAGGAGAATTTTAAGTGAATAACAAACAACTTCCCTTTTCAGGGAGTTCATCGTCGAGTGGGCAGGACCACGTACATAATTTGTCCGGCCCAGTGCAAAATGAAAATGAGTTGCCTCTTGTTCAATGGTTATTATCACAGTGGCTCTAACAGAGCATGAAACCATGTTCAGGGCTTTTCTGAAAGCAAGGCCCTGTGTGACTGCACAGGCTGTGTGCCCTTCATGCTGACCCTACACGTGAGGGGCTGGGGGCAGAAATAATGAACCTGAGATGAAATAGGTGTCATTGTGGAGTGATGCATCCAGAGATGTGGGAGCCCAGAAGGGGACACTTGGTTAAAGAGAACTGCAAAGGGAAAGGAGGTATTTCATTTCCTTGTAGAAACAAGTGAGGGCCAGATTGTGAAGGACTTTATAACACACCCTAGTGAATATACTTTTATATCTCTTTTGCAATGATTCTCAATGTTTGGTCCATGAAAAAACTGTACCACAATCAAGCTGGGGAGTATATAAAAATTTATTCCTAGACCTGGCTCCAGACTTACTGAATTAGAATCTTTAATGATGGAGCTGGACTAGGTCAGAATTACTGTGGTGCTTGCCCAGCAGATGCAAAAGGGAAACCACAGGGGAAGATATGAAACAAGACAAGATTTGGTAGGGCTAGTCTTGAGGGATGTTATGTCAAGAGGTGAGGAAATTTCACTGGAGAAGGAGAGACAAGAAAGATATGTTGGAAATAGTTCAGGTCAGAGGACTAGAGTGAAACTAATTTTGTCAGAGAGGGTGTTGAGTAGAGAATGAATTTGAGAGAGATTTAGAAATTAGAATTAAAAAGACTTTATAATCCATAGACTGTGAATAAGAGAGAAAGATAAGCAGGGTGGTGGTTATTAAACATGTCTCTAAACTTCCTAGTTTGTCCAGTGGGAGAAGATGGGGTTACAAGTTTATCCCAAGGGAAAGGTAGGAACAACTTGGAGTGGGGCTAGCAATAGTAATAGCAAACATTTACATGGTAACTTCTCTGAACCAAGGACTTTACATATAATAACTTTTTCACTCCTTTTAGCAATCCTGTAGGGTATTGTCTCACTTGAGGACTTTAAGGCATAGAGAGTTTAAGTGAACTGTCAGATTCATTTGGCTAAGTAACTTACAGGCTGAGATGGAAGTCCTTGCTTTAAATAGTGGCTTATGCCTTCCTGCTTTTGCTGACTTCTAGATGACTGCTTCAGATGTTAAGGGTGGCAAAAATATCATCATGTGACTGAAAGAAGCACATTAGAAGGTTGGAGACCAGCATTGTGATGTTGACTTGGCCATTATTTATTCTTAGAACCTTAAAGCAAATTATGGTCACCTCTGTTTATGAGGAAAAAATCAATGTTTTGAGACCAGTTCCACCCAAACAAAATGCTCCAAAATTAAGTTTGTGTAGATAGAAAGATCCAGAAACCTAAATATATTTGGTTACTTCTACTTGTTTTTTCAATGGTAAGCTAGAACTGATTTTTTTTTAAAGATTTATTTATGTATTTATACAAGCACTGGGTACAGTCAGAAGCGCGGGAGGGTGAGAGAATTCACCAGAGCCACAGCGGGGAACAGAACAGGCAGACTGATGAAATACACTGCTGAGGGGAGCAGCTGGTGGCAGGAGAGGCCTGCACGCCATGTGGGACCCTTGCCGGTGGCCGGGGATCGAACCGGCCCTGCAGAGGCTGCAGGCAGCTTTGCAGCCCACCCCTCAACCACTGCACCACCAGGGGAGGCCCGCTAGAAATGATTTTTATGGTACACATTTACTGTCAACTTTGCTCGCCTTCATCTTGGTATCATCAAGTATGAAAGGATCTTTCAGCTTGGAGGCCATGTCACCCTAAGTGGGTGTTTCTTTGGCCAATTCTAAGAGATCTTTTTTTTTTCCCATTTACTGTTTTCTATGATCACCCAAATGTGGTCTACTTGTTCTTCCCAGAATATAGTAGGTGTTTTTAACCACGTGTATTTTACCCTGATACTTGACTACCAGAATCTGGTTCATCTATTGAAACCCATCTCATCCAAGCCTTGAAACCCCTTCATCAAGCCATCTGAGATCCCTATATCAACCTTAATAACCCTGTATCACTCAATCACTGCCTTGTCTGGATTAGGTTTGAATTCTTGTTATAGTGAGGTCCACTAGGTTTTAAAGTAGAGTCTTGTATTTCTTCCCCAACTTATTATGAAGTATTAGCAGCAGTTGCTTATTTACTTGTATTCTTTCAAGTCTATATCATACATGTCACACTGAAGTCACTTAAAACATTTCCTAAAAGAAATGCTGAATTAAAGATTTGTGTGCAAATATTCTAATAATTTTTCTTTTTTTCCTAACTCAATTGAGTTGTTACTTCCAATTTTACAAGAGGGAGTACTGAGAAATCATATAATTTGTCCAGATTTTATAGCTAGGAAGCTGCAAAGCAGAACTTTAACCTAGGCAGGTTGAATCTAGGTCTGCTTTAACTTTAATAAAAGTCTACCACCTTTGCCATGGCTCTCCGCCACAACCACCATCACCAACTAATATTATGCTGTTACCACCACTGCCACTGCTGCTACCACCACCAAATAAGCCTAAGACAGGGCCTTTCTGGTGGCGCAAGGGGTTGGGTTGTCAGCACTATGAGGCTGTCCGCAAATACTACAACATGAGTTCGATCCCTGGCCAGGGAGCTGACCCATATGGCACAGCAGACCTCTCCTGTCTCGCCCGCTGCTCCCCTCAGTAGTATATTTCAGTAGATCTGCCTGTTTTGCTCCCCATTCTGTCTCTGGTGAATCCCCTCACCCCTGCACCTCTGTTCTTGTATGCATAAATAAATAAATCTTTAAAAAAAATTAGCCTAAGACAGTATGTATTAGTTTAGCAGCTATTTTATACTTTGGGCTCATTTTGAGTTGTGAGAAACAAAATGTTTGGGTCTCATTTTAGAAGAGCTTTTTGACCGTTTGGGCAAAAAAGTGAATAGAGGCATGGCTGCTGAAATCAGATTACCTGGATACCCCTTCAGTTTTCTGCTGTCCCTCACAAGCCTATATCACGGAAGTGCTCTCTCTCCTCCTCTTGCACTTCCTGCACCGGGAGCCTCCTAGGATTGTTACTAAGTGCCAGGTTTGTAGTAGGGGTAGAGAGACATATATGTTGTCTTTATTCAGACTCAGTCTTAATCAGTCCCTTTTGTGTCTGGGCCTCAGAGAGTGGTGCTTTGTCACTATTCCACTTCATTCTCTTCATAGCCGCCAACTCTGTCTTCTATCTGGGGTTAGCTTTTAGGTGGGAGTTTCCTGCCCCTCCTTTAGCCGTTATTTGGGCTTGATTTAATAGAATCCTGGTTTCAGAACAGTAAAGTCATCACGGGCTTTTGCTTTTATCCTCTATTTGGCATTGATGGATTTTTGCTTGTATTCTGGAAGAGGGTTTCTTATTTAGAAGTAATTGACCTTTGTCTATTACCATCTTTGTTCTAGCAGCTTAAGTAGCAGGAGATAAGTTCAGCGAAGTAGGAGGGAATTTGAACCTGTCCCAGCAGCCATCCATCAATAACTTCACACTTGTATTGCCAAGGGGAAGTCGCTAAGCTGAACTTCAGGAAATGCTCCCAGTCTGTCTCATGAGGACCAATTGTTGAGTGGAGAAGGGTTTACAGTATGAACTTCTTTGGTTGTCTAAGAACTTCAGATATTACACATTGATACTCTGTAGCCCACACATAACCTTTATACGTTTGTTGAAATTTTGGTGTATTTCTTCTGCTTCTCTGGCAGTCACCACTTTCTCCCATACTCTGAAAATGGTGTAATCAGTGTTTTGTTGTGGCTCTTCTTGGAAGGCCTTGAGGGTTTTTTTGGAAATTGGTTTACGTGGAAATTGGTTTAGCTATCTGATGGGCTTAAGAAAATTGATGACTTTGCAGTTACCTGTTTTTAAAATTTTTTTCCTGCTGATTTTAGAGTGAGTGTGATATTCTCTGTAGCAGTCTACTTTCAGACCTCTGGAAATCAGATAAACCATGTTAGATATGTTCCTAACAAGTTGGGTAACATGACTATCAAAAAAGTAGATGTGGTTCATTTGGCAAGACTGATTATGGATTCTTCTTCATGTGCCTCCCAATCTTGGGTCTATACCTGCTATAGATCTCTCTAGGGACTTAATGAAAAATCAGAAAGAATAACCTGTTTAAATGGCATAGTACCATGTTTTATTTGTTGCCTTAACTGTGACTACTTCAGCTCTTAAACAGATGAAAAACTGGACATGTTTTGATTCAGAGTGTGAATTTTATCCTTACAGTCTAATTAGAGCAGGTGATTATGTAAGTCACATAACTGTCATATAATTATCTGATTCTTATCCAAGATTATTTTTATTTTCAGTTCTCCTCACTCTGTATTTTAGAATCTGGTCTTTAGTAAAATTTTATGAGTTATGACTTGTTAAATTGCAAAAAACTAAAAACCCAACTAAAATTGTCCAAAGCAAAAACAATTTGTTGAGTAATTAACTGAAAAGTTCAGGATTAGTTCTAGCTTCATATATAGATTTATTCGGGGCAAAAATAATACAATTAATACTAAATTTCTTCCCACATATTGAATATACCAGTATTATTATTGGTTTTATTCTTGTACTTCAAATGGGACTCCCTTATAGCTCTAGGATTACATATCCCTAGATACTACCCCAGTAGAAAAAAATAACCTGCCTTTCTTTCAATCATTTTAGAAAACACTCGTTCTTCTCATTGGTTCTAATTGGATTGTTTCCCCTTCTTATACTCATTAGTGTGGCCATGAGATTATCATGCTCTTAGTCACATGCCCACTTCTGAATTTGGGATCTGACTCAAGTCTGTATTAAGCATGTTACTGAGGATCATGAGGGTAGTTTAGGAGAAGAAAAGTGGGGTATTGGGTACTTGTTACTTAGATTGAGATAAATGGGGATTGGGTAGTCTAAACAAAAATTACAAAAGGACAAACAGAAATTTCAATCTAGTCAATAAATAATAGTTTAACTGAACTGAACAGTTTGTGTTTAAAATGGTCAAGTTTTCCATGTGATTTTATTTGCTAGAGAGAATATAAAATAAGGAATGTTCCTGCTGGTATTTTAGATATCTGTGAAAAGGTTTCAAAAAGGACTTTCAAAAATATATACCTTGTAATACTCCCCCCATGTTTTCCAATTTGAAAAATGAAACTTATTAAATAATCAAAATGTATTAAATGGAAGTGAAAGAAAAACCACAATGATGCCATCACCTAAGGCAAAAACCATTAGTATTTTATTTGATATTTCTAACTTCCCTTTTTAGTTTATGTCTCACTTTTTTCAGTTAAATTTGAAATTATGTAGCATAATGTTGTTTCTCTTCATTTATTATTACATATATATTTTCCCCATGTTATTAAAATGAATAAGAATTATTTTAATGACTATATAACATTATTCAGTGATTACTTTATTCTTTTATAGAAAGATTGTTTCTATTTATTGTCATTATGAATACTGCAGTAAACATCTCTGCATATAAATCTTACATGCATCTTGTATAAGCTATAGGGATTTCTTTTTCAGGTTAAAAGTCTGACATAGGGGCCTAAAATCAAGTCCTTAGGGGCTGTGCACATTTGTAAGGACAGATCAGCTTTCAATGCCTCTCTCACACTAACGTGGATCTGCCATGAAAAGATATGATGATGATGGCAGAAATGCCATGTTTGTTGCTGTCCATGCCAGGGAAGGATGAAGAGTGTGCAATAGGAAATTGGGAAACTTATCTTTATTTAAAGGTCTTTCAGGGCAAAGACATCATCTGCATGTAAAGGGTCCATTCTGACCACAACGGACACCCGCTGCAGAGGTGAATGGGGCTTAAGCAACTTACTGGGGTCCTTCATATTTCATTTCAGAAAAGCTTCTTATGTAGCTTCCCCCTGCTGTTTCTCCTCTAGGAGGAATAAATGAAAGCTAGAATCCCTATTATTTTGGTATCAAATTCTATCCTCCATGGTCACAGTTGTTGTATCTGTTCTTTAATACAGATTTGAGTGTGGGGGGTTTCAGTCTTACAGGGAGAAAAATCTAATCATCTTCTTTCTGAACTTTTATGCCAGATCTCAGAGCAGAAAAAAAAAATTACTTTTCATTTCTAGTATCATTAAAATAATTGCATCCAGCATGTCCCTGTATAAATTAATTGGCCAACTCAAAATAGCAAAAGAAGATACAAAGAAA